CTTCTGTGATCTTGTCTGTGAGCTACAGTGTCTGAGGAGATCAAGGGGAATTGAGGGTTTTTTATTTTATTTGCCTGTGAGATGTAAGAGGATTTAGTTGACTTGTCCATGCAGCTTCGTAAATTTAGGGAAAGGGTGGATGTGAGTGGAAATCAATGCATAAATTACTGCAAATGGATTAAAAGATGATCAAATCAACATTAACCAATATTCTACAAAGTCATTGAATTTAATTTGAGTGTTGGTCTTTTGCTGTTGTTTCATAACATTTTCATGCTGTCAGTAATTGGTTGTGCCCTTGCATGAAAGTTGGCCTGTTTTCAAAAAAGTCCTTCACAATCTGGTGTGTCTTGATTGTGTTATTTTTCACTTATTTTACACAAGAGTGGAAACTGAACATTTCGTATTTATTTGAACTGCACCCAGTTTTTAAGGAACGTTTTTTTAACAAAGAAGGTTTATAGAGTTTATAGTGTTTTTTGCAATACACATACATTACATACCGGTAGGTGTGGTGCCTAGTAAATCACAGCAGATGTCGGAATCTTCTGACTTCCTGATTTTGTTTCGGCTCGTCACAACACAGGGTTTTGGCATCCTTTTATTACAGCACCCAGTGTTTACATGTGTGTCTAGGTTTGTGATGTGTGTGTGCATATGTCTGTTTGTTTATAGTGTAAGCGCCAGAGTGTCAGCTGGCCTCTAATGTTTAACCAGGGTTTGAATGAGTAATTACAAGCCTGGAGACTGTTGATGCAGTTAAGTATTACCTGTGGCTATATGGCATCTAAAACACCATTGTTATCCCACCAATTTTAGAAATACCAGTAAACCCTGCTCTTCCGCTCCACTTAATGTTTGTGTCACGTTCCTGTTTTCCAAAGAAAATAGATAAAAGGCTGAAACGTGACAACGTGAAGTGTTTGTGAGAGAATGCAGCAGCTGAGCAGGGATGTCAGCAGCTGGATATAGGTCAGTGTTTCCATGTCTGTGTGCATGTGATGCAAATAACCTACATAACTTGGTTTAAATGACATTAAGTCGAACTAACTGTAGACCTACCTTGTTTATCACAGTGAGGCCTGTGTGTTACCAGGCCACTGGTAATGTTTGTAAATGGTTGTCTGTCCTGGAAAGCCCATGTTTTATAAAGTACAGAGAGTAAAAGTTATTTTTAGTTATTAGTTATTTTTTTGTTTTACCAAAAGCTGTCAAAGTGTGAATGGAACCTATTATCCAACTGAGCTGGATGTGACCTCATTTGACCATCTTTGAATATTTCACTGAGCTCCTTCAATGCTGTTGTCTGCCTAGTTTGTCTGAACTGTAAGTTTAAATGTAATCTGAATCCATCTCAGAATAGCGCTGCATGCCTTGGTCAGGTATGTTTAGCTCACTTAGCTGGCTGTTGTTCAGACCTGGGTCATCAAGGAAACTGTATCAAAACTGTAGCAGACCCTGTGGTCTTAACTCAAACACAGACTGGGTCTGCACAGTGTGTCAAGTCTATCTTTAGTATGACCTGGTATCCCTTTCGCTTTATCTGTCCTGACCCTCCTCTGCTCTAGCTACCCTCATCTTGTCCATTCTTGTCTCTCCAGCTTTGACCAGCAATCTGCTCATTGAACTTCTTACGGAAATGAGCCTTTATTTGACAGTAGAGTGTGACATATGAAGAGATGACGTGTGACAAAGGTCCCCAGTCAGTCTCAAATTAGAACACTCCATGAACTTGACTTTTCTCTCTACTAATCCATCTGTCACTGTGTTTTGGTTGTGACAGATTTTTTCATACTTGTGTCCCCAAGCTGCAGGGCTGAATGTGCAGCTGTGGACACATATGCACACCAGCCAACTCCCTTTCTCTTCTATGGACTGTATCTGTCTTGGGTGCAAACTCATAAGGCCTTAGCAGGGCCTGCCCCTGCATAAAGCCAAGCCCTATATTTATCCCACTCTCCTCTTAAGAGTGACTAATATGGACACGGGCAGCAGGAGGGGGGGGGGGGGTCACCCAGTTATCTCCCCACTGTGTGGAGTGGTCCTTACATAGTGGTGATTGTGTCTGTGACTGTTGCCATAACAAGTACCTATTGCTTCACTTCAGCCGAAAGCGTAGGAGGGATGAATGCCAAAAGATGGCCCACTGGGTCTTCATTCTTTATCTGCCATCATTCACAGTCCACCCCTCATTCACATACTTTGTGAAGAGAAATACATTTGTACTTGTTGCCCCCTTTTTCACTTTGTGAGCACATTTCTGTAGCTATATCAGTTATTCTGATTGAACAGGCACTTTTCCAGTTGTCTTTGTATATTATTGTGACTAAATTAATTCAAGCACACTCAAACTGTTTTGTTTAAGTCCATTTAAATCTCATTAAATACAACTGTGTACAGCACTCTTTGCCCTGCTGTCGCTTTCTCTCTCTCATAGTACCATCGGACCATCGGCAGCACCAGGAGAAATCTCCCTGTGTTGGTGGGCCATCAAAACATCCATAAAGGTTTTACCTTCGTTAGAATGTAGTCAGAACTTTTCATCACATTGACAGTTTTAGCTTTAGTTGTGTGCATTGATACAATTTATTCACATTGGTTATTTTGTTCAACCCACACCACAAAGATACTCAGTTTATTGTTATATATACCATGAAAAGCATAAAGGCCTTACATTATTAACCCTGGAAACCAGTGAATGCTGCAGCCTGGAAAATATGATTTCACTATTTTACCAATAATGACCAATAGAGTGAATACTGATAGACTCTCTGACAGTTGACAAATTGCTTCAGCTCTAGTGTGGATATATTGTGTGGTATTGGTCCGTTGTTATGTGTCAGTATATTTTGTGTCTACTTACTTGCCATATTTCTATTCATGCCTGTACTAACAGCCTAAAAGCAGTCCCAACAATCAGAGCATATGCAGGCTGTGTTAAACCTGTGAGTTATCGTCTTCACGTCAAAGTGAACATACAGTACGTTTACAGTTCACGTCTATATATAAGCTGTTAATAGCTGAAACTTTTAAAGGACTACTGTATTTTTAGAAGGCATATTAGAGAGTCCCCTCACCTTTCCAACTGTCAGGTTTCATTTCCACTTTCTCAGTGTGTCTGCAAAAGTGTAAGAGGTCAAGTTTGCGTGTATGCACGTGCATGAGTACAAGTGTTATCTTACAGATGACATTGTACAGTAGCACTGCTATACATGGTCATTGCCAAGTACAGTTCATGAGTGTGTGTGTAGTAGGAATTAAGGAGAGTGACAAATGAAAACTAGGCCAGCTGCCAAAGTTTTGAGGAATACAGAAGAGGAAGCGTGAAAGGGAGGACTGAGAGGAAACAGCTAGGTCAAGGGTGGAGGGGTTATGGGAAATAAGCCCTCTGTTGTCTGTGTCTCCTGATTCTGTACTTCACAGCTTCAGCAAAAGCCAGGAAGGACAGTCGGCTGGCTGAGAGGATGGAGAGATGAAGTTACAGAGAAAAGGGGGATAACAGGAAGCCTGAATGGCAGATGACATGTGTTTTTTTTAAAATGTGAAATGTGAAACCGAAGAACTGTAGACCCGGATGAACTGTAGGAGTTGGGTTCATTGAGTGTAGACCTGCAGCCTGCTGCCAAGGTGGAGAGATTATCCAACACAGTGGTTTACCAAATAAGCCACTGTAATATCAAATAAGTGTATCCACTGACGGTTTGCGTCACATCTACCGATATACGTAGCTTTGATGTCATCACCTGCCTTTCATTGATCCCAGTGATCTTCACTGTGTGCGTGTGTCATTGTCAGTTCTTTTTTTAGTTTCTAGACCCAGAGGCTATGAAACCGCCCTCATTCAACTTTTGTAGAACAGGTTGGCCAACTCCCTGGATTAGTGTTACCTCTGGGAAAACTTCTATCGTTGTATTTTTGTCTGCATAATGTAACATTCACTGACATATACTCTGAGCCGTGACGTTTGTCCTCTTTAAAACTCTCACTAGCCTGATTTCGGCTATTATCCTGTGAAAAAAAATGTAAAATGTCAAAAGCTACAATTGTGCATATGCAGGGCAAGAGTTTCACAATATAATTTTTCATCAAAAAAAATAAAAATTGTTTATCACATAATTGACAATATAAAATGTGTAAATTAATTTGCTCATAAAGAAGAGTTGAAAACCACAAGCCACAAAAAAATTGTCTTATACTAATTTATCGTGATAATTGTCGATATCGACTGCATTATTGTGGATGTAGTTTAGGGGGCAGACCTGTTGTACAGCATTATTTAGGTTTATTGGTCCCATGGCTGTCATCCGACACGCACCTAAGCTGCTACAGAAGTGGGTCTTCCAACCTGTTTTGTTTGTATGTTGTATGGGTGTTTACTGTGTCACTGTGAGAATATAAACACACACACAATCATTGTTTGTTGTCCATGTGAGACAGTTAATAATGTGTCCCCCTCAATGCAGCGACCTCAGTCACAGTTAATAAGATTAAGTGTTCCAGAGAGGAACAGAACCCTGTTTAATACGACCTGCTTTGGCATGCAGCGTTATGTGCTGGCCAGCTCTTATCTCTGCTCCAACACTGTGGAGGAGGGGACTCGCTCTGTCTTTCCTCTCGGACCTCTTGTACTTCTCTCAATCCTCCCATCCCTCTGTACTGGCAGCTGTGTGCGTGTGTGTGTGCGTACATGCGTGTGTGTAGTCCAGCTGTGCGGAGAAGCACAGAACATTGTGTTCTGAGTTCACAGCGAGTCTGCAGACCAGTGGCCAACTGAATGGACCATTGTGACAGTGACATAAGCACATGACAACACCCGTCTGTTCCCAGTCCACATCTCGTGCTTATTATAAGAAATTGGGTTGGCATGTGCAAAGAAGTGAAGTAGAGTTTTAGAATTACATAAGTTACAAAAAATAAATGACAACTGGAAAAGTTGACAGACGTCTTTGTGTTTGAAGCCTCTAATCATGTCTTATTTTTCTCCTTCTCTCTTCCATCAGTATCAGTGAGAGCTTCCTCACAGTAAAAGGTGCAGCCCTGTTCCTTCCCAGAGGTAACAGCCCTCCACCGAACACTGCACCTCCTATCAGCCAGCGCAGGAACAAGCACACAGGTAAAGACTTGTTCGCAAATGGATGAAAGCTGCACCTTCTCCCAGAACTTCCATCCTCAGCACCAGAAATTAATTCTGTGGAGGAACTTGAAATTAAATAGCAGAGTTTTTCAAAATGACATTTCTGTGCGGTATCTTGGGGAACAGCTGGTGCTGAAACAGTTTCACAACAAGGCAGATAAATCAGTTTGTGGTGGACAACATTTCAAAAATTAAGCACGGAAATTATACCAGGAGAGGAAAAATGTTGCTGCCACTGGAAAATACAGCTTTTGAAGACCTGTGTGTTGTGAAATGAGCTGATTACTATAAAAAGCATCAGTGTCTTTGCTTGTTTCACTTAAAAGGGCCTTTTTTTCTTCAGATGTAGGCATGAGTGAAAGAGACATCAGTTTGAATGAACTGGAAACTTGCCACAGGGGAAATGATACACTATCCTCTGTGTTATGTCGACCTTTAAATGCCAAGAATACGATTGTTGTCCAAAATAAACTGGATCTAAGGGAGAATGTTGAAATCCTGTCTGTGCAGGTGATCTCCAGAAACACCTTCAGACTATGTTCACTGTTCTGCGGCCGGAGGACACCATCAGACTGGTATGTAACACACACACACACATAATATCCTGGTCAGGAGCAGAGTGGTCTTGTTATCAGGAAGATTATATACTGGTTTCTGTTCTTCGTTCACACATGTAAACAATAAAACTTGTTGGATTTTCAAAACAACTGTTTTTGTATTTAAGAATTCCAGTAATTTCCAGTCCCTGAAGCATCTTTTATTTATTTCTAAAAGTTAGAGAGGACTTGTGAGAGACAGATAAAACAAATTTTAAAAAGAATCCTTCGTAGTGTGTTTTGTGTGTTGACCTGCCCTTCTGGAGGAACGCCCACATATTTTAAACTCCACACACCCAGGTTGTAATACCAACTTTGCGATAAAATATTGAAGCTTCATTTAAAAATTTAACAATAACCCTGATACATGTGAGCCGTTATTTTCTCAGGCTTTAGAAAGCTTCCCCAGAGCCAAAGAAGACATTATATAACAGTTCACAGTAGGCCTTTCTGCTGTTTGTCCATTTCTCATTCTTATTTCAACTTTCTCTTCTGTCTTTTCTTTCAGGCTGTGCGCCTCGAGAGCGCCTACCCTCAGGTAACCCGCTACATGGTGGTTGTCTCCACCAATGGCAGACAGGACACGGAGGAAAGCATCGTGCTCGGCATGGACTTTGTCTCTTCTGATAGGTCGGTGCCACATCAACAACACACCACTCTGTCTTTTAGTGTTATATCAAATGTAATTAAAGCCCACACGTGACGGCAACTTAGGAGAGATGACTGTCCCTCTTTTTAGCTTTACAGTGATATTGACATTATAATGTTATTCTTGGATATGCCAGAATGTCTTCTAATTTTATTATAAGTCTCTAACTTCAACCCAATAAGACCTAAGGCGCAAATAAAAAAACTCTAGAATATAAGCGTTGTTTGAAAGACCACTTAAAACCAGAGTTTTCTGAAGAGCTGACAGAATTGCCAACATTTACAAAAACTTAAAATTTTCAGTCTCTGAAACGGATAGAGACATTAAATAGAATTTTAAAAAACCTAACCCTCATCAATAAAACACTATTGTAATCTGCTTCAATATCGCTTTAGTCACTTGGATCGTCAGCCATTGTGTGAGACACGACTTTAAAAGTTTTTTTACAGGAGTGCTAACAAACAAATTACATTTCCCATAATGCACTTTGCATTTACCGCAATTATATTACAATGTTTGACTTATTTCATTTGTCACATGTCATGTAAACGATGACATTGTCACAGATCTTATCCGACTAGAAGCACACAAACAATGCACCTGGTCTTAAAGGTACATACATGCATATGTTGGATCTGGTATAAATGGGTTAATCTACTTTAGATGAAATAGCTAAAATTAAAGTTTTTCAAAATAAAGGGTTATTTTCCTATCCATAACAATTTTTCTTCTTGAGCGTTGTCAAAGCAGTCTATGTTGCTTTGCTGTGCTGTGGTCTAACATGTCGATCTTCCTCCCAGCTGCTGCACGGTGGGTCTGATTCTACCTCTGTGGAGTGACACTCTGATCCACTTGGATGGAGATGGGTAAGACACCACACCTACATCCTGCTTCTTCTCACTGTACAGCTTGACCTCATTTAGTTTGTTGTTGTTATAACGTGGCTAATAATCTCTTTTTCTCGGTGTCCACAGTGGCTTTAGCGTCTCGACAGTTAACAGGGTTCATGTCTTCAAGCCTGTTTCTGTCCAGGCCATGTGGTGAGCAACCTTTATCGATGTAAAGTTGCATTAAGATAATGTTGCAGCACTGAAACAACTACATCCTTTTCTCTACTTTTTTCGGCTTTGACCTCCAGCCTTTTATCTTTTGCTTATGCTTCTCTCCTCTTCCTTCTTTTCTTCATCATCTTTCTGCGTCCTAGTCTCTTCTTTATCTCTCCCTGTCTCACATACCAGTGCTTCCTCTTCATTTCCGTACTCATTGTCTTCATTTCCTCATTTTATTGTCCCTTTGTTACTTTGACCTCCCTCTTCCCTCAGCGTTCTCTGATACACTAATTTATTCTGGTTTATATCTCTGTATCACATCTCTCTGTCGCTGTAATCCCTCTGTAATTGTTCAGCTCTGCTCCCTTGTTATATTTCTGTTACTAATTCCTCTCTTATCATTTGATCACTATTTGACTTGTCTCCATCTCTTATTAATTCCTCCTTTACATGAACGTTTTGTTCACTCCAGTCTAGAGATGTTCTGTTAATGCTGGTATCTGAACATCTCTACTCTAATCTTCCATTTAATTTCATTCTGTATTTTTTTTATTGCTGTCAAAACAACCTCTCAAGTGTGAATCTTCATCCCTCTCTTGTGTCTGCTTCAGGTCAGCCCTCCAGTCCCTCCACAAAGCTTGCGACGTGGCTCGCTGCCACAACTACTACCCCGGCAGCCTGTTCCTCACATGGATCAGCTACTACCAGAGCAGGATCTCTTCCAACCAGTTCTGTGTCAACGAGTGGAACGCCATGCAGGACGTGGAGTCGCACCGTGCAAACTCACCTGTCACCTTCACAGACCTGTGAGTAAAAGAACAGAAGTGACCAAACAGTGCATTACTCAAAATCCAGATTTCTCACCGATGGAGGAATATCTGGAATATTATTTGGTTTGTGGTGCGTTCCAGGCATAGAGTCATTTTCACTAGTTTTCCTTTTGTATGCCAGAGAGTGGCTCAGCTCCATTGATTGTAAAATTCTTGTGGAGTGAACATTTTCAAAATGTGTTGATGTGGAAACCTAAAAGCAATCCTACATTGCATCCCACAGGCTATTAGACATTAACTAGAATGTATATATATTAATACTGCAACCAGTATTTCATAACCTAAAATACCTAAATCAAAAACATTTTAAAAGTTGTTTTTGGATCAGATCATAAGTGGACAGGGCGAAGTTTGTCTGTTCTTACTTGGTGTAACAATGTGTCCTGAATGTATTTCCTGTGACCACTTGTGATAGGGTCCTACTTTCCTGCTCTATATGCAATTAATCATGTATGTTATTTCTGTTCTCCAACACCAACTGATGATGTCTTTACCCAGTCTGAGTTTACCGATGTATCCTTTGACATGTGTGTGTATGTGGGCACGAGAGAGTGTTGACATTGTGGCCACAAACAAGTTAACGGATGGGCACCGACTAAAAATACATTTGATTCGTTGTGAAACTGTAGCAGGTCAGGGGATTTCAGCTGAATGGTTAGTCCTTCATAAGTGATCTGATCTCAGGACACATCTTGGTAAATTCAGAACATCTCAATAGATCTTAATTATGAACAGCTTTAAGTGAGCTGACTGTACTGAAGCTATTAACCAAGGGTTGAATTTGTTCCTTGGTGCTGATGGAACCAGGCCTATTATTATTATTATTATTATTAGTGGAACGTCTTTGAAAAGTCATAGAGTTTGACATGATAGCAGTGGTGCGCATCCTACACATGCATATGTATGTATAGTGTATTTATAGCGTGTGAAAGGTATAGGGTGCAGGGAAAACATGCACGCCAACCTGAACAAACATGTTCCCAGAAATGCACCTCAGGAAGGACCCGAACATGTGACTCACACTACATGCTCTTGCATCCCAGATTCAGAGAAAGTCGAAGATGTTTTCCCAGTAGGTGCATTTCAGCAAGATCAGAAATAAGTAGCCCAGTCACACCAGCGTTAGCCAACCTCTCTTCACGTGCTGGGGACACATGCTGTCTGTGACCTTTAAGGCCAACACAGAGGCAGCAAACAAAAACACAGGCATGTAGCCAGAACGGAACTAATTGCACTTCCTCATTATCATTTACACATATATAACTTTGTTATCTGTGACTCAGAGTTGTCAGCAGATAACATGGGACCAGACAGAGGGAATGACAGAGGCAGCTGGATTTATGTCTTTACTAATACCATGGAAATTCGGCTTTCTGTTACTAAGTCATGTTTACACACACTTCAGATATCCTAGAGTGTCCAAATTAGCTGAGGCTTTAGCTGGCTTGAAGTACGTCTGGAAAAACAGAATCCAGACAGTCAAATAGTTAGAGCAATACAGACGCAGGTGAAGAGAAGGAGGCATAGAATTGAGATGGGCATTAAGGAAGTTCCACTTTAGACTTGACAGTCAAAAACCCCCATATTTACTGCCTGACTGGAAACAGACATCTCAGGATCTAATAATAATAAAATAATAATAATAATAATACCTCACACACTTTATGAGCTTTGATACTCTGATATGATCTCTGACACACACATTGCCAAACCTACATGACCCGCTCGTGTTTGTTGACATGGCAGCTTGTTTCCTGGTAGAACCACTGAACGAAAGGTTGAGAAAGCAGGAAGGTGTTTGATTTATGGTCTTTGTGGTACATTCCCGTCGGATACTTATCAAAGATTCAACAAAGCAACAGAATGTTCATACCTTGGTTACCACCATTTATCACCATTATTTCTCTGAGTGGCCGTCCCTCCTTCAGGCTGTCTGTGGGCACATTGAGGCTTGTTGTGAGGTTAAAGTGTTACTGGATGTCAGTAACTAATCTGTATTTATTGGCAAGGTTGAAAAGGTTTTCTTTCTCTTAGCTCTGTGGGCTCTGTCTCTTGGGTTCAGTAAGTCTTTTAGCATTAACATAAACAGGCTGACTGTTTCCAGTTTACCACCAGAGACAGATGCTTTTAAACCTGTGGCCACCCCATTGAGCCCCTTTGTGACTGCTGACTCACACTGCTCCGTATTGCTATAATGAGAAATCACTGGGAAGCATAACAAGACAAAAATTAGATAACACAACACGATAGAAGCTTGGAGACAAATTGAGCTCTTCTCTCCTGAGAGGTAATTAGGATACTTGTTGGCATCATCAGCGTGACGTCCGAGGGCGAAATGCATCCCCCAGAAGAGCGGCTAGAAACACAGCCAGGCACAACAACAGGCAAATTCTACAAGGAGACTTTGTTGTGGAATCGCCAACGGGTCACAATCTCAGATTTTTCTGTTCCCCTCCAGTTTCTGAGAGTCGAACAAAGTGGTAATTCTCTAGTGGAATAAATGCTGTCATTGAGACTGGAGCGAAAATGAATCAATGAACAGAATGTAAGAGTTGTTACTGGGATTATGAAGGTGGTCCTTTGGTGGTGTTGTTTTTAGGGTGTGTTAAAGTTGTTTTATTAAAGGTGTTTTCGTGTTTTTATCCACAGGCCCACAGAGAGGGAGCGCACAGAAAGGTTAATCAAGACGCGCCTCAGAGAGATCATGATGCAAAAAGATCTGGAGAACGTCACCTGCAAGGAGGTGAGAGGCACATACATGAATCGATGTTCACATTCAGGTTTGACAAATCCTGTTTTTTCAAATGCAGTAGTTCACACATTGATTTAAATATTGAAGTGCAAATCCTCACCATTGTACTATTATAGAATTTTTACTTTTACTCCTGCAGAAACATATTGACTTTTTCAGTTCGGAGAATTTGATATCAGTCCTCTTTGTTTGCCACAGATACAGCACTGACTCAGCGATAGTGTTCATGGTGCTTCTCTGAATTGTTGTTGTCCTTTCCCAGATCCGAACAGAGCTGGAGATGCAGATGGTGTGTAACCTGAGGGAGTTCAAAGAGTTCATAGACAACGAGATGATAGTCATCCTGGGACAGATGGATAGTCCCACTGAGATCTTTGAACACGTCTATCTGGTAAGAACCTGTGGCCCTGTAATGATGGAACTTCCTGTTCAGAAATAAGATGTTAGCAGTTAAACCTCTACATGCATGTGTTCACCTTAACATTGACCCTTTGTTATCTGCAGGGCTCCGAGTGGAACGCATCCAACCTGGAGGAGCTGCAGAACAGTGGGTAAGAGATCAGTCACTACAGTTCTCCAGTGTTATTATCTGAATTTTACTACATTTAAATAGATAAAGCTTCATGCACTGAATATGTATTCTGATGCATTGGTTTAAATCTCTCTGTAGTCTACGGATTTATATATTTTGACAAAATAATCATCATCGTTTTGTGGTGCTTGTTTGCATGTTCTGTTTTACTGGTGTTTAAATCCACAGTTTCCTAATATCAACAGTAACCAACCTTATCAAGCCTCCTGTTAGCATTATAGTTTACAGCAACGTTCAACCTGAGCAGCATCTGAGTAACCTACTCTAAAATATGAGCTTAATATCAGAAAGTCACCCTGCATCTGGCTGTCTTTCATGTAGAGTGGGATACATCCTGAATGTGACGAGGGAAATAGACAACTTTTTCCCGGGGATGTTTGAGTACCACAACATCAGAGTGTACGATGAGGAGGCCACAAACCTGCTGGAGTACTGGAACGAAACCTTCAAGTTCATCACTAAAGCAAAGTAAGATTAAACACCTACACACACACACACACACACACACAAACACACACACACACACACACACACACTGCGAAAGTTCTTACAAGTGTAGATCTTTTAATGCAACACAATCTCTTACTCTGTCAGGAAAGCCGGAGCTAAGTGTCTGGTTCACTGTAAGATGGGCGTGAGTCGCTCGGCCTCCACAGTGATCGCCTACGCCATGAAGGAGTACGGCTGGGACCTGGACACGGCCTTCGACTATGTGAAAGAGAGACGGGCCGTCACCAAACCCAACCCTTCCTTCATGAAACAGCTGGAGGAGTATCAGGGAATTCTGCTGGCCAGGTGAGCTGTCACATAGAAACATCTGTAAATAATATTTTCATTTCTCGGGCTTCATTTTGAAGACTATTATTTTTTGTGTCCTTCCACAGCAAACAAAGGCACAATAAGCTATGGCGCTCCCACTCTGACAGTGACCTATCAGATCGCTCCGAGTCCATGTGTAAACCGTCCTCCCTGGGCCGCTCAGACTCTCACAACAACAACATCTCCTCCCCCTCTTTACATCACTTCCTGGGCGTGGCTGTGCTGCAAGCGCTCGGTGCTGAAGACTCTGCCAAATTAGACTCCACACAAACGTCTGAGTCACACACACACACTAACGGTCTGTGTGACTCATCGGTTCAGGAGGAGGTCAGATCTGATTGTGAAGACCTCTTCCTGCATCCCCTCCCGTGTCCCCAAGCAGCCACTGTAGTCCCAGAGGAAAGACTGGACAATTCAGAGAGCGTGGCTGTCACTGTGCCTGTCGCTCTACCCCACCCGCCACCATCACTCCACATCCTACCTCCTACTCCTGAACTCCAGCGTGTTCGCCGGAGTCCTCCTACACATCTGTCCATTTCAGTGCCCAAACACAAACCAACAGAATTGTCCCTCACTTTGCACGAGCGAAGCAGCTCAGAGGAAATCTCCCCTCTCACTCTGGGATCGACTGACTCTGACATTATAGATCGGTCATTATCCGATTCAACTAGGGACAAACACAGCCCTCTCAGCCCTGCAAACACTGCCCCTCTCCCGCTGGTTCTCCCCCTCGCTCCCAGCGATGACAACAACAACCCCAGTGAGTTACAGGTCGGCAGTGATTGCGACGGCCGTGGCGAGGCCGATGGCTCGTCAAGCCACAGCACGGACAGCATCGACTTCTTCAGCGCCAGAGAGAAGTTTCTGGGCTTGGCCCAAGACTCAGAGCAGAGGACTCCATCGCCACATGAGGAAAACAGAGATACAGACGAGAAGGCGGAAGAGGAGCAGGAGAATGAGAGTCAGGTACAAACTCATTCTGATTCTTTAGTCCATTTTTCTCTTAGGTATTATAACTTTTAGAAAAGGCAGCTCACACAATTGATGTGAATTTAAATAATGGATTTACTGGACCAGTTGTCCAACACCTAAAAATGTTATATAAAGCAAAAAAATTTGCAAAGCTCGCATCTAAATCTGCGATTAGATATGAACTCCAGAAAATATCGGGGAAATTGAGTCCAGACATTTTCTGGAGTTTGTCTTCCATGTATGAAGAAAGGTGTAGGAGATTTTCCAGGTTTTTGAAAGCAGCTCCAGTGTGTCTGATAAACAGTGTTTGCTTATTCAGAGCTAATTATGAAGTGTGGTTGGTTACACACAGTTCTAACATCACAGAGGTTGTGTATTAGTGACGATCCAGTGAGAATTTGTCTGTTATAAACATGTTGAAACACAGACTGAACTAAAAGAGACTAAACCATGATGACACCTGCTGTGGTATAAAAATAGCTCTAACCCTTATTTATTGTTCATATCTAGTTAATCATTTGTATTGTGTGTCGATTATAGGGTTTTAAAAAAGGTATTATAAAAAAATACCAAAGGAATATTAATAAAGTAGTAAATTATCGGAAA